ATCATAACACTTAAATAAATTACATGGTAGAAGATAAGTGGTATGAAGGGGAAAAAAATAAAGCAGGACAAGGGTGGGGAGGGCCAGGAAAGCTGAAAGGCTGTAGAGTGGTGCAGTTTTAAATAGGGTGGCCAGGGTGGGCCCCACCAGGAGGACAGTGGAGCTAAGATATGAAACCATATTTTGGTTTCAATCTCGTGTTTATGTACATACTCTATCTTTCTGAACCCTATCTACCTTTTAAAGGCCAACTCTAAGACAATGTTCTCCATAAAAGGTTCTGAACACTCTAGTCCACAGTTATCCTCTCCTAACTTATAACTACTATGGTTTGTAGCCTTCATTTTAACAACAAATCAAGCCCAATATTAATGTTTGCATCTTATCTGCCTCTTCCCCACAAGCCAGACTTTTTCTTAAGAGACAGGCTTCCATGTACCTGAACACTACAGCTCTCAACAAATACTTGTTAGCACATTTATTTTTATAAAAATGAATTTGCCTAAAAACCACAGAGTATACAGCTGAGAACCAGAATGGGCTTATTTAGACTCCCAGTCCACTGTTAACTTAATAAGCCTTACTGCTTCCTAAGGATCCTACTTCAGCTTACAGGTTTCATCTGCCATGCTGGGCAGAAATCCAGTATGACCATTTATTATTCACTGACCATTCACTAGGTTTACTGCATTGCACTCATTGCTTGGAGAATTTAGATATACTGACACATCTTTTGGGGAAAGGGTGGTTGTGCTCAGAGAAGGGAGATTTTCATGAGTTGAAAATGACATGCTGGATACACAGATTCTGTTATTTTCCACATGGCTCTTTCAGGATATGGCTCTACACGGTCCCTCCTAACTCTGCTTTTCTTCCCCTGCCCAGGGCTCGGAAAGAACGATACTTTGAATTTCCCTTGCTGGAGCGGTACCTGGCATGTAAGCAGCGCTCACATTCACTAGTGGCCACCTACCTCTTGCGGAACTCTCTCTTGCTCCTCTTCACCTCAGCCACCTACCTGTACCTTGGCCACTTCCACCTAGATATCTTCTTCCAAAAAGAATTCAGCTGTTCTGTCAAGACAGGGCTGCTAAGCGATGAGACCTACATCCCTGATTTCATCACGTGCAGGCTGACCTCCCTGTCTGTTTTCCAGGTTGTCAGTCTCTCCAGTGTAGCAATATACACCTTACTGGTTCCAGTGATAATCTACAACCTCACACGGCTATGTCGGTGGGACAAACGACTCCTGTCCATCTATGAGATGCTCCCAGCATTTGACCTCCTCAGCAGAAAGATGCTGGGGTGCCCCATCAATGACCTCAATGTGATCCTTCTTTTCCTCCGAGCCAACATCTCTGAGCTGATCTCTTTTAGCTGGTTAAGTGTCTTATGTGTGTTGAAGGACACCACCACCCAGAAGCACAACATTGACACGGTGGTCGATTTCATGACTTTACTGGCTGGTTTAGAACCCTCAAAACCTAAACACCTCATTCACCGGGTGTGTGATGAAAACCCATAGTTAAGACATCATGGAGCAAGAAATTTTCTAGAAGTAAAAATCTCTTGCCTTCCTTATGAGCCTCACATGTTTATACAAAAATGTCCATTTCAGAATTGCTAAACTTGGATTCAGCTGAATCATACATCCTGTATCGTGTTTCTAAGGTTAAAAGATATAATCAACACATGGAAACCAATCTGAAAGTTAGATCTGAAGAGTCAAAGAACTAAAAAATTAGGTCTAGAAAATAATATGAAGATAGAAGAAAAATCTACAACTAAAATAAAGTCTAGAAGAAAGAAGGTTTCTAAATAAAGAAAGTTCTAAAGGCTATTTATGGAGGCAGGTTATTCTCACTGTTCACACCATGGCCATAGGACACACACTCAGGTTACCCTGAAGAGCAAGTGAACTTATCTGGTAAGAGAATAAAGATATGAAATCCCTGGAAACCCTTCGGTGAGGCCTGACGTCTTACAGATTTGCCCAGCTTGCTTTGTGGAAGTCATCAACCTTGCTCAGGCCCTCTGTGGCCTGCAAAGTGGGCAGGAGATAATGAAAGCAGAAACTTGTATCTGCTCTTTGGGCTTAAGGACAGTATAGAACAAGGCCAAGCCAGCCATCTGCTATGGAACCATGAGGTGTGCTGATACACCTTTCCTTTTCATCATCTAATCAGGGACTCCCTCAACCGAGGGCTGGGATTATGAGCTGTGGACTCCTTCACAACTCTTAATGGACCCAGGTGTGCTTTTAATACACTAAGGGAGGCTGTAACTCCACTTGCAGTCAATCACTGGAGAGCAACCACTTAAATACTGTTGAGCCCCTTCTCTCCTCTGACTCATTGCCCCACCTTAGCTGCTAACTCCCATTCCTCTGTCTGTGTTTAAGGGAACCCTGATCTGACTCCAAAGGCCACACTCAGCCCACAATACCATGCTGTCTGTCAATATTTCTTTTTAGTGGTACACATTATTACACTCTTTTTCATGTAGATAAGTAGAAAAATTACGTTGCTCCTAACAAATTTAGATAAGCTTACCTAAAATGAGCAAAGGGGCAGACACACAGGCATTCATCAATGGCTTCCTATTGTCACTGGGTAAAAGTCTAACTCTTCAGTTGGTACACAAGACCCTCTGCTATCCAAATACTGCCTACTACTTCAGTCCTCTCGCCTCTCTCCACATACATTTTTCACTCTAATCAACTACTTGCTACGCTTCTCATGATACTAAGCCTTTGAAGATGCTGGCCCCACTGCCCAAGATGGCCTCCTGTTCTTCACAGGACTGACTACCTCTCCTTCAGAGTCAGCCCAAGCACATTTCCTTCAAGAAGCCTTCCCTCTCTCTAACTGGGTTCTGCCATATCATCCAACACCTTCGAGAAGCTTCCCCCTTCCCTAACTGGGTGCTGCCATATCATCCAACACCTACCTCTGAGATAAAACTTATTACACTGTGTTAATACTGCCCCTTTATTTGCTTGGCTTTCCCTCTTAAAAAAGTTTCCTAAACATTCTGCCATAATAAGCACTAAATAAATATTCTTCTGAATAAATAACTGAATGAATGAGTTGCTTGGTAATACTACATTGTGTGGAGCACACAGACTCAGCCTCTAAATAATCCTGTATGAAAGAACCTTTGTGCACATAGATGCACTTTGCAGCAATTGATGACCAAAAGGTCAAACAACGTGAAAAGAATTATGTAAGATTATTATGCCTTAATTGAAATATTAAGCAGCCATTTAAGACTGTTTATAAAGAAGCCAAAATAACATTGCAAAATACCTATAGTGAACCAAAAGGAAACATCACATTCAGTATGATCTAACCTATTAAAGATGCATGAAAATACACATACCAACATGTTAAAAATGGTTCAATCCATGTAGCAGCATTACAGATTTTTTAAATCTTTGTACTATATTTTCTAAATTTCTAACATTTGCATGAAATGTTTTATATATTGTAAGGAAATGTTTCTACTGAAGAACAGAAAATAAACATTTAATGCAAATTCCACTGAAATCCACTGGCCAGGGCAGCTTGCAAACTAAGGCAAATGATAGCACTATTCCTCCCATTATGTGTATGTATATAAAGAGGTAAAATGAAAATAAAATCAGATCACAAAGAGTGAAAAGACAAAATACAGCTGTACAGCAAATAAACTGGGATATTAACAAATAGGGGTTAAAAAAAAAAAAACTATCACTCAAAACTATCTATTTTCAGGTTCCAGGGTAAGTGCCACTCTTTAGTATCAAAGGTATGAATGTGGACATTTTGTAGGCTGATAATATTTCTGGAAGTTTCCAAAAATGAATCTATATGGCTGCCTTGAGTATGTTTGTGGAAGCACATGGCACCATGAAGAGGTGCTCTGTTAAAACCCGACCAGGTCCAACAAGGGCAGCTTACAACATAGATGGACATAAAAGGACTTTCATAAGCCTTCTCTCTGCGTTAAAACCATAATGTCAAGACCTTGTCACTACTTTTACAATGTTCTGAAATAAAATACTGGGTCATCGATTCTAAACCTTTTTTGAACTCTGTATTCCTTATATTGGCATTAGATTTTTCTCCATCAATTTAATGAACGATATTAACTATGTACATATTTTAATTTCCATATACATCTCTAGAAGCCTAAAATTTTCATATATAACAGTAATCGTATTTTATATCAGTAGCGAACTCTTATTTGCTTCCATTATTCTACAGTATACTGTTTTCAGAGGAAAAAAAACCTGTGAACCAGAGACTCACTCAGCTAGTTAGTGGCATTGCTGGAAGGAGAATGAATATAAGACTCTGCCTTCCAGACTAGTGCATTTATCAATATTGCATCCTAAAGAAATATCTATCCTTATCTCATTTTAGATAGACCTTGCTTGTGAAGATAGAGCTACACATATGCATAGATACAGAAGCATATTTTTGGTGTCATCAGGCAAACAATGACTGAGTGACTGCTTTGTGCTAGCGTGTTATTAAAGCTGCTTGTTAAATCTTCCATCTTCTCTACTATAGTATAACCTGAGAGAGCGAGGCTTTTTTTCCACCTAAACAGCACTGCAGTCCCGGCTCCTAGTAAAATCACAGCTTAATGGAAACATTTATGCCAGCTACATAAGGGAGGGAAGCCAAGAAAGCGGCAGCACCAGCACTTGAGCGTTCGAGCGGGTCCTAGTTCGGGAAGGCCAGGAGTGTGAAAAGCTGCAGTTGACCGCAGTGGGCTGCGGGAGCGTGTGTAAGGCTCGCACTGGAAAGGTTTTTGCCGGTCCCTGCCTGAGCTCAGCAAGTACATTCCTTAGCTAACCACGCGCAAACGAATCCCAGCCGGTCACACGGGTCGCTCCCGGCCGTCAGCCTGCCCTATGCCCCCTCCTCTTGGCTGAACACTCGCAAGGCCGAGACTACCACACGCTCACGACCTGGAAGTTACGCGTCTGCGTCATGACGTAACTTCCGGGAAGGGTCACTTCCGAGGCAGACGCGGAAGTGTGGGGAGGCACGGGGAGCCGGCTCGGGACGGAGTTTCTGGCTCAGCCGCGTGCTTTGGGAACGTTCTGGAGAAGTCGGTTCCTCAAGGTCCGCTTCGCCCAGCGCAGACCCGACGAGTCCAGCGCCCTGCCGCCCCTCGCCCCGGTGTCGATGCCGGCCGCGCCTGGGAGGCCCCGCAGCGGGGCCGGGCCATGAGCCTTCCCGGCGGCCTGCCCCCATCGCTGCGAGCCCCGGCGCAGTCCGGCAAGGTCAGGATGAAAAAGCTCCCGAAGAGGAGCCAGAACGAGAAGTACCGACTCAAGTACCTGCGGCTGCGCAAAGCCGCCAAAGCCACGGTGTTTGTGAGTCTGACGCCGCTCGGCACTTCGCCTCGACACTCTCCGAATTCGCGAAATCTTTCCCCAGACCGTCCCCCTTCCCAGAGTGGCACGACTAATACAGTGTTAGCTTTTGCAGCATACATCACTTCCCGGTAGCCTTGTGTCCTTGGACGGATTACGTGATTTCCGTAATCCTGTTTCTTCATCTGTCATTAAGAGCTAATAACAAGCTTGCGAAGTTGTGAAGATTCAATGAGGGAAGTGCTTGGTACCTAGATTTGCCAATAAGTTTTAGCCATTGTTATTATCGCAGAACTCTTGGAAATGCATTTGATTCTCAAGAGAAACCTGAGAATGAGTCGTTTTTAAAATAACACTGAAGCCCAGAGAGATGATTAGCCTAAGGGCACTGTGTCAGAACCCTGACTCCAACTTAGACACCCTAAATCTAGTTTCATTACTTCCACTACACAGCCTATATCCCGAGCACCCTGTGTACCCATAACTGACCCCTTCTCTAAATAGACACATGAAGTTTTCAATAATTTACTCCCTTCTAAGCTCATTTGAGTCTCCCAAGTGTTACTGCGTTCATTTATTGAAGCAGCACTGGGTTTATTGGATGAATGAACTGGTTTGCCGGCCACACTTTGTGCAACGATGTTCTGGCTCGCTCAAACTTGCCTCAGTGCTTGGAAATAAGGAGTGGAGTCCTCAGAGGTCCTTCCATGTCTGAATTGCCACCTTACCTCTTCTTTCTACAGAAAACTTGAACATCTCTTAGCTTCTTTGGAAGCATAAGGAAAGGTTTGGAAGTTACAACAGTCATTCCAAAAAAACATTTATTTAGCACTTGCTGTGTACACTGGAGAGAAATAAGAAAAGTAGAATTAAGAGGATTTGATATCTAATTGACTGTTACTTTTCTTTTATTCTCTACATGTCAGGAGTATACAAAGCTTGAAGCCTGTGTTATTAGGGAGACTTTGGTTTCATTGAATATATGATGGTTTTGTAGAAAAGGGATATTGTTTTGTACATTCAGGTCCTACCTATGGAACATCCAGATTGGAGTATTCCCTTCAGGACCGATGCTTGGCAAACAGATTGAGTCATCAGTAAAGAAAGACAATACTTGAATACACATAAGTAGATTAAGAATTTTATATACTGAAGTTGGCCTGGTTCCATTCAGTTTTTCTCTTTAAGGTTCATCTTGTATGAGATGCTTTGAGTCAGATTGGTTTTGTAAGCTCCCCAAAAGTCAAGGTACTTGGGAATGGATATTCCTCATATTTATAAGGATTGAACTTAAGCATCTATGCATTTAAGCAGTATGCCTTTTTCTCTGCCAAAGGCTACCCTAATTAGGGTAACTGTACATCCTGGTTTGCCTAGAACAGCCCTAGTTTGCCATATTGTTCTGGCATAATCATTAATAGTGTGCCCTTTTTACTCAAAAGACCCCAGCTTTGACCAATTCTGTAATTACCCTACCCATAGTAGAACCCGACTTTACCTATATCTAGCTTCTTTTATAGTTTGCAAAAAAGACGTCTTTGGTTTGAAATATAACCCCTCTTCTCAGCACTTCGATCTTTTATTCATTTTATGTGATTACAATTTTTTCTTAAAGGAAAATGCTGCTATTTGTGATGAAATTGCTCGTCTTGAGGAAAAATTTCTTAAAGCAAAAGAAGAAAGACGGTGAGCTGACTTTGTTTTCTGTTCAGAACCACATTTTTGGTGATTGATGTGGCGGTATTGCTCTTGGTATTTTTCTCCGGTGGGATTTTTGTGCATTTTGCACACAATAATCAAGTACAGAGAAACTCACAACCTGTGGTTTTGGTTCCTGTTTACCCAGGTCATTTTGGACCACAGTGATGAGACAGCTCCTCTATTCATCTTTCTGACAAAGCCCTCTTGCCACAACTAATAAGTAATCTAATTATAACTCCCCAGTTATAAAAGCCAAAAGATAAAAGAAACTGTCTCTCATTCTACAGATGTTTATTATGTACCACTCTGTGCAAAGCACAGTGGGTGTACTTATGTATGTAGTTCATGGTATATGCCTTTCAGAAGCCTACCACCTTCCAACATCAAGGTAGAGAAACCCTCCAAATGCAAAAAGATACACTACACTTCTTTATCCTTTGCTTCTTGAGTTTATCCTCTGGAGCTTCATTATTCCCAGGCTCCAGTAAAAATATTTTTATGAGTGTAATGATTTTTGTTTATAGTTCTGGCTTTTCCCGGCACTTCAGTAAAATACTGACTTGAGATAAAACAGAAGTTCATAGTTCTGCTTCCTTTCGTTCGTTAGGTACTTGCTAAAGAAGCTCCTCCAGCTTCAGGCTCTAACTGAAGGGGAAGTACAGGCTGCAGCTCCTTCCCACAGCTCCAGTTTGCCCCTGACTTATGGTGTGCCCAGCTCTGTGGGAACGCTACAGGGAGCTGTGCCCATTTCTGGGCCTAGCACTGGGGCTGAGGAACCATTTGGGAAGAAATCCAAGAAAGAGAAAAAAGAAAAAGGCAAAGAGAACAACAAACTGGAAGGTACCTTGGTGTTATCCCAGTGGCTCAGTGACTAATGACAAAGACCTGGTACTAACTAGCAGACACACACGACCACAAATATACTTAAACTCTCATCTGGTCCTTAGGCAGCCATAATAGCCATTGAAAAACAAGTGTGTTGGAGCTACCTTGGATGGAGGAATTCCAGTTAGACCTGGTTAAATGTGAAGGCCTCCCCCTTCTTCCCTAGTCTCAATGCTGGGTTACCTTCAGTTCAGTCTTTCCTAGAGGTAGGAAAATGAGATAGGTGGCCTTTTGAGTACACTGCTGGCTTGGGAAATTTCTGATCTTAAAAGTGAAGTAAGAGGCCTTAAAAAGTATAAGGCTTTTAGATCCCAAGCAATAATATTAAAATTGGTCACTACCAGGTGGGTGGGTTAGAAAGATACTCAGGGCTTTGGGGAAAAGTCCCATGTGCCCATTCAGTGAGCATGTAGAACTGGGATTGGCTTATTGCTCTTAGCATTCACGTGTAAAATTTTCCCTTCCCCTCAGCACTGGGAGGGGCCTAAAGTGGGTGACCCCAGATTTGCGTTTCAGTTCTGAAGAAAACATCCAAGAAAAAGAAAATGGAGGGAGGTGCTCGCAAGCTGGTTCAGCCCATTGCTCTGGATCCCTCAGGACGGCCTGTGTTCCCCATCGGACTGGGGGGTCTAACAGTATATAGCCTGGGGGAGGTGAGTGAGACCAGCGATATATAGAGAGGAGAATCAGAACTATGGGAATGGGGTTGAGCCTTCCCTCCTAGTTCCCATAAGCAGCAGCCCTTTGCTGATCCAGACCAACCCCAGAAAATCTCCAGTCCCTAGGAAACAGGTTGGTTTTATGCCTACACTC